TCCATCCCGGCCAGTGCAAGCGCGACGGCGGCTCAGTCAGTGATCACGCCGACGACCAGCATGCACCATAGCTCCGCTCGCGAAAGTAGCCATCGATGCCCATGCATAATTATAGATCAATCTACGTTAGTTACTTAAAAAAACAAGATCAATCTAATATACAAGAATTCAGAATGTCAAACCCGGCGAATAAGGGATCATGCGACGAATGCCGCATAGCCAAATCCATGTGAGCTGGCCGGGGCAAAGCCCCCGGATATGCGGTGGAGGCAGTGTAGCCGAATCCATGCGAGCCGCACCAACCACACGAGGGTAGAAGCCCCGGGCATAGAGGATCGTAGATGCCGCCAGCGACATGCATGTCGCTTATCTTGTGCATGGCAGATCCTCCAAGCATGCGCTCATCTCGCGCACGTCGCTCGTCTCGTGCATGGGCATCATGCGTGGCTGTGCAGGGCAGCGCAGTGCGGCGCACGGGGACGAGGCGGCAGTCGACGGGCTGCGCCACACACTGTGATTTCCTGCATCGCCTTGCGCTGCGCACGTCATCAACGATCTCATCGACCGTGGCACCTGGTAACGTCGATGATTGAAGCCATCTCCTCCTTGAAGAACACGATCTAGCGCCCCCCTACCTGGTGCGCCAACTGTCGATTTCTATGATCGGCAATATATTTTACGGGGTGCGCAAGATCAAGGAGAGATGGTGATGCAGGTGTTTATCCTGGTTCAGGCCCTCGAGAAGAGGTAATACCCTACGTCCAGTGTGTTTTTCTCTGTATTTGGGTGGAAAAATGAACTCAGAAGCCAAGAGAGAAGAAGGTAGAAGTCTCGGAAATCCTCCGGCCTAGGGACCCCTTCCCCCTCTTATATAGGATGAGGGGGGAGGGTTACAAGGAAAGTATCTAGTTGATTGCAACTAGATCCTCCTATTCCATCTATAAAGATATGCATGATACCCGAGATTTATATCTTATCCCGGAAATCTCTCTTTCTTTATTTACAAGTATGCCGCAGGGGCCTAGCACACTTGGCCCACCCCATGCGATGCGGCCCAAGGTTTGTTGTTGGGTACCTGGGTATCGTGTACCCCACAGCTGCCACGGCACACGCGATGGGTTGCTGCTTGTCTGTGCTGAGAGTTCTGTAGTTCGGAAAAACACCCCCAGGCAGAAAAACTGGGCCCTGAGTTTGATGCTCAGCTATCGTGCCGTCAACCATAGATTTGATCATGTAGGTCAAAGGTATTGACCAGCATTCCCGATTGGTTGACCAAAGCATGATGAACGGTGTAATCAACCTGGTCCTGCAAAAGCTTGAGTGCCTCGAGTTCTTCCTCCCGATTGTCGCCTTTGGCCTTGTCATCATTGGCGGCACTTGTTTCTGTGTCATCCTTGTTTGACAGAACTACCTTGTATTTATGAACCATAGTGCCGGAGCGAGTTGGTGCGAATGAATGCAGAAATCGGTTTGCAAGTCATCTTTCATCTTCTCAAATTCTGCCTTCTGCTCCGGGGTCAACTTGTCCATCATTATCGGGATGACATTTTCTGGATCGAGCTCTCCTTTCTTGAGGTTTGCCAACAGTTCACGAAAGTCGGTCCCACCAAGCGTGCCAAGAAAGCGTGTTGACATGAAAAACATGCACTGGCCTAAGAGATCTGCTTAACTCTAGTACAGGTCCAAAGAAATTGCCTTTGGGCTCTGAGCGTGCCAGCTGGTTTGATCCTGCAACCAAAAAGATAGAAAAAGAGGCAAAGAGTTAAATCCATCAACAATAGCTAATCGGCTGGATTGCCGATAACGTATCGTCCGAGGCCATGCGGATGTAACTTGCAGGTCCCAAGAAATTGCCTTCGGGTTCTGAGCGTGCCAGCTGGTTTGATCCTACAACCAACAAGATAGAAAAAGAAGCAAAGAGTTAAATCCATCAACGATAGCCGATCGGCTGGATTGCCGATGACGTATCGTCCGAGGCCATGCCGATGTAACTTGCGTCAGATCGGCAGAGGCAGATAAAAACTTGGAGATTGTTGGGTCTACTCGATCGGCTGTAGATGTCAACGATACGTAATCCATCCAATGGAACATGCTTAGATAGAGTGATTGGGAGATCGGTCACTGCACCAAGACAAGACAGTATAAATCACTTAATATCTAAATGCATTCCAAAGTAGGGATTATGTATGCTCACAGCATAGCCGATGGGGTAAACCTAACGTGTATCGGCTAATACTCCGATACCACCTTATACCAAGATACCAGCGCAGATGAAATATACAACACTGAAACCAATCTAACGAGCAAAGTAAGCTAGCAAACTGATAAGAAGCTTAACATACTTTAAACGGATGAGATCTCGATATAAGGGGCAGATTTAGATGATCCAGAACCAAATAAGGAAACAAGAAGACTAAATCAGGTAAGATCAGCTGAAACTCCGATGCTATCTCTATTAGTAATCAAAGAAAGAGCTAGATAGAACGTTTCAAGACAGTACTTAACAGATCGAACCTAACTGATGCAACATTAAGCATGAAAAGAAACATAAGATCTAATCAAATTGATGAAAACTCATCCAAGATGGTAGATACACTGCATAGTCTAACTTGATATCGAAGCCAAAACCTATCGACCGTTTTCGATGATAGAGGCTAGCCGATAAAGCTTAGATGACGAGATCAATCTAGATTGTGTGGTATATATGATAACTCGGCGGTTTGCATAGACAGGATTAGAGTGTCATGAAGATGTAAGCACTAATCCCAAGAACGCAAGCCGCCATGACAAGATTTACCTCTTCGTCGGAGATCGAACCCGATGCAGCCCAACTCGAAAGCAAAAACTCGTCGAAACAACAAAAATAGAAAAGGGTGGCGATGCACCGAAGTAAACTCGTCGAAACAACAAAAATAGAAAAGGGTGGCGATGCACCGAAGTATTATTGAACAGTCGTCACTTGATTTCATGGTATCGGATCATATTTATACCCGAAGTACATAACATGTCCTTGCTGGATACGACTCTTATCTCTGACACAACTTAAAATACGAATGAGTCCTTTAGGTGGACTCTTACCAAAATATCTCTAAGGAAACTGAAAAATGTCCTAATTAATAGATACAATTGCCCAATTGCCCTTTTAGGACTCCAATCCTTCCTAAGACTGGTTGCATCAGCTTGGCTCCGCTGGATCTGATGTTTAGCCGATATGTAGCAGCCGATTCATGCGGTAGCCAATGCTGCTTGTAAGCGATGCGTGTTCTGCTTTCTCGAACTGAACTTCCCCAAATCGGCTTTGACTCTAGCTTCGAATCCGTCCCATGGCATTACCAAATTTGGTCGTTAACATAGACTTCGAAAGATCATATTTTGATCACACGAACTCTGAATCGACCCGTTCAAGTCTCTTAATTTTTGTTATAACCTAAAGAACCATGTGCCTTTCTTTTATGTACTGTTATTGCTTCTTTATAGGCTTGTAGCTTTGCTTGTGTGCTTCGCGTAGCTCCTGTCGTTCCGCAGGTTCCTAAAGCGTGGTTCGTGGTTGTCGCCGAAGGTTCGGAAGGCCGTTCTCTCTAAGCAAGGCAAGTCGCATCATCCTTGAGCATATTGAATCCCAGTTTATAAAATTATTTTATTTTAATTTATTGCATTACCGCTTTATTTAAATTCCCGCGTTCTCACTCTTTTATTTAGCATTACCTATTAATCCTTGTTATAGCCTCATGATTGATATTGTTAGTATCACCTTGTTTACCTTAGGAAAATAAAACCCTAACTAGTGGGAACACTATTCATGGTTCCACTAGTATAAACTTAGGTAGATGCTTGGCTGGTTAATCAGGCAACACTAGGTGGTTTTATAACTTTAGACTTTGGGAATTCTCATATCATTTGGACATTATGGAATGGTTGGCTTATGTGGAATTGGACACACACCTCCCACTCTATTCAAAACCCCCAAAATGGTTCTAGGCTGGGCTATAGTAGCACCTCAGCCATCATAAGGACCGGTCTTCGGGCCTCTGTTGCAAAGCACTACCGTACTAACCACATGTCTAATGGGTAAGGCTTAACTCGGTGCTCAGTCTAATCCTGAACAAAAAAGACACAGATGGAGATGGCTGAAGTCGTTGCGATGGATATCTCTGAGGCAAATGAAGGCTACATGGGCGGGTGTTCGGTAGTCAAGATGTCGTGGCACAGGTCACACCCGGTGGATGTCCTGCTGCTAGGGGCTCAACCATAACTTACCTGTCCAAGGGGTTCCGGCCGTAGGCGGGTGTTGGGTCGGTGCTTTTGTTTACAGCTAAGATGGGTAAAGGGTTATGTCACATTTTTATGACGGGTTCCAAGGCCATGGAATGCGGCGTAAAGATGTGTCTTATGGGTAAAGTTGTACACCTCTGATCAGAGTATAATCTATTCGAATAGCCGCGCCCTCGGTTATGGGCAGGCCTAGCAATGTATCCAAGTTAGTGGTTTAATTCTTAAAACTTACTTAACAACTAAAATGAATGTTTGGTCTGGGTTGGTTTGGGACAAGCTAGGACCTGGGTTTGGTTGTCAGTTCGGTCTAAATCATCGTAGGCCTTGGGCTAAGGCAGGTTCGTGTGGGTTCACGGACTTAATTAATAACACTGTGTAGCTCTAGGATTGTGTTTATAAAACAGCTTTGAGCAACTAAGTGACTTTTAAATGCTGTTTACTGTAAAACCTAATTACTCATTGTACCCTTTGCATTAATCATGCATCTTCCGGGTGACTTGCTGAGTAATGTGGTTGTACTTATTCTTGCTCTATCTTTTTCCCTTCAGTAAGATAAGCTCTGGAGAAGAAGTCCTGGGTGGAGTCCTGGCTTATACCCCAGTTAAGTGTCTGTAAAGATAAAGCCGTAGGCCCACTAATCTGCTGTTGTTTATTTTCGTTGTCACGGGGTATTTTCTAGTTATCTGAACATGTTATCCCTCTCCTGAACCCCAGCCCCCTCGCGCCGGGACCTTATCCCTCTCCTAAACCCCCACCCCCTCCCCCGACCCTTTCCCGTTCCTCCTTCCTCCGGCCGGTGCGGCGCCCCTCCCCTCTCCAACAATGGATTCTTGCGCTCTCTTCCTCTCTACCCCGCGACCACCTCCTCCTCTCGTCCCCGCGCACCGCCGCCGACCCCTCGCGAGCCGCTCAGGCCTCCGCCGCCGGGAGGGTTGCCCCTGCAGCTGCGCCTCCTCCTCTTCCTCCTCCGGTCGTGCCGGTTCTCAGGACCGCCCGCCCAGGCCTTGGCAGCAGAAGCAGCGGACGCAGCGTCCCGGCCGCGGCGAGGCCATCGACCCAGTCGGCTTCCTCGCCAAGCACGGCATCTCCGACCGCGCGTTCGCGCAGTTCCTCCGTGACCGGTACGTTCTCCGAGCGTCTCGTATGGCAGGGTGCAACCTCCGGTTTCCCCTCTGCTAAATTCGTTCTAACTGGTCGACTGATGCCTTGACTGGGTGTTTGTACACATCTCCTTCCATATATTGCTGACAGATTTGCCTGATTTTCCAAAATGGTTGGGATTTTTGTACGCATTGACTAGCTAATTCCCCCTACCGTCAGAAACAGGAGGTGGAAGTGGTTGTGATTTTGTCAAGAAATCGTTGAATTGCTTCCTTGGTAGGGTGGGCTTGATTTGCGTGACTAGTTAGTTATCCATCAGAAAAAGAGGTGGTACTTTTTTTTTTCCCAAATGAGCACAGCCTGTTTGCATGCGGTGAGGGAAAGTGGGCAACAGCTGACAGCCATTCCAGCTTCTTGGTGGTGCTGGCGAAGTGGCAAAAAAACCCAGCTTCTTAGCACCAGAATCAGGCTGATGGAAGTTCCATAGTTTCAAATTAGGTGTTGAACTGTAGATAGAATTATGGAAGGAGGGGCAAGGTATGGAGATGAACCAGAAGGTTGATGAAGTACAGCCAGAAAAACAAGGAGCTCTGATGAAGTAACACTGCGAGAAGGGAGACAAGGAAGCCAGGAAGGAGAGTTGCTGCTAAGCATGCAACAGACCAGCCTAAATATAGCAGTTTGTGCATTGATTCCATGATAGAACCCAGCGTGTGCATCATAAAAGCATCGTATCAGTAAGATCATATGTGAACAGATTCTCTCATCTTATCTCGCTTTTTATTATTAGGTACAAAGCTTTGAAAGACCGTCGATGGGAGCTGCACTCTCGTCTAATTGATCTGAAAGAGGCATCTTCTGGGTAATTATCCTACCATCTTGGCATCTGGTTTTGTTGTCATTCTTGGGTTCTTTGGTAGTGTGATGTGCCCATTGGCCTGTTCGTGCTTCTTCTTCTTTTTTTTTTCTGTTTTTCTTTTTGCTGATATAGGTTTGAGTTAATGGGCATGCATCGACATCGGCAGCACCGTGTGGATTTCATGGAGTGGGCACCAGGTATAGATTATCTTGGAGACAGGTCTGCATTGCTAGTCTGTTATACGGCCATAATTAATACTCTCTCCAGTCACAAAAGAATGTCATCTTAGGATGCATGCTCTCAACACAACTTTGACAATATGTACTGTTTAAAATGTAGGTTTTGGGCACATGAAAATGATATAACCAAGTTTGTGATAACAAAAGCTTTTATTACATTACAACTGTCACTTCTTTTTAGATTTATGCAAAAGAACTAAATATTTAAGATTCTCATTGACCTTTAAAAGTCCAAGGCAACATCCTTTTTTGGCTGGATGGAGTAACCTTAAATCTTGATATATGTGTATGAAGATAAATAACAGAAAGCATGTTTAACTAAATTTACAAGATGATGTGAAAATTGTCATGGAGCTATTTACAACTCTTGTGCGATAATATTCTTAATCCTTTGCTCTTCTGAACAAAATGATGATTGCATTTTGCTGCTATGTCCCCAGCAGAACCAGCTTTAACACACAAAGGCTGTCATGATCATCTGTATTTACAATTGTAACACATCAACATGTAATCTGTTATGGCCCTGTTTCAAAGGTCGGAGGATAAAAAATAGGCAGCTCGTCCTTGGTTCGCTGGCCAGAGCTTCTCCCTCCACTTTGTCTCTAAGATTCTGCTGATCTAGACTGGACTGGGTCAATGGTCTAACCGATGGGTCAACAGTCGGATCTCATGAGCCATACTGTACTTTTAAACAGATTTTAGAGAATATTAGCCTAGTTGGTTATCCAATGCAGTGTGAAGCGACAGGTCTTGGATTTGAACTGAGCCTCACACGTAATTTTTAGATGCTCCACATGCTGCATCTGATATTGTGGGTCGGCAGAAATGACCTCTCTGTTTGCTTGGGTGAAAAAAAAGCCATTGGTTGAACCGGGATTTTCCTGGGTCAACTGTACAAATGGTCCTGATTACTGGACTGGTCTAATCCAGGCCATCATGTTGGTGTGGCTCTTATAACTATGCCTATTAGAGCAGGTATAATAGGGCCGTACCAGTAGGCCACGTCGATTTTGATGGTGGCTGGAGGGGAGAGAGAGCACAAGCCGGTGACTAATTAGTCACTGGCTGCTCGCGCGCTCCTATTTAGACGCATTAAATTTTCGCCCAGTGCAGCCCATGCTGATGCTGCAATCCGTGTGGGTTCCAGCCTTCCAGGCAGCCGACGATGCCAAGTCCGCGGTGTCACTACCTTGGACTGGTCCTCGACGTTGGCAAGCAACAAGTGAATGGAATCTCATTATCTAAAAAACAAGAGAATGGAATCTTGAGGAGGAACTGAAGAAGTTGACCAGTAAAAGAGAAGATGCGCTGGATCTGAGATAGGAAGGACACCACAGGTTGAGGGAGCTGGGCAATCCAGAGCTTTGGAGCTCCGCGGCTCACACCCAAGCACTGTGGCAGCGTGCTCGTCCCACTTGTTACCGAGCTCGGTGACTGCGGATGGCCCATGTCCCACGGAATCTCCAGCTCAATGGTGCTGGGCTCGGACCCTGAGCTAGTCTGTGGCGTTCTTGTCCCCTGTCTATCAAGATCCGTGCTCCAAAACTGCTCCGATGAGCCTGTAACAATGGAGGTAGAAAAAGAGAAATGGAAGGAAAGATGGAGAACGTGGTGAATGTGGGCCCATAAAGTATATGTTGGATTTGTGCTAGAGCTAGCTGTTGGAGTAGTTGGCTGTATGAATATCTGTAGCTGACATGGAAGTATCACACTGCCACACAGACTATTACAGTAAGCAGCGGGCTATATTATTAGACTTGCTCTTAGAGAAGTGGGAAATACTATAGGATTTACATTATTCTTTTCTTGCTCAATGAAAAAAGAAAGCATCCTGCATACTATGCGATGCTTGACCTTACTAAGAGATAGAAATACTAGAGGGCATAAAGTTTATGCAAAAAGACGACAGCATCCTAAAGAACTATTAGATAACTTAATGATGTAAACGTCATAGTTTTCTTTATACACTAGAAAGCTTGAAATGCTCATTTAAGCAATACCTACTATTTTGGGTTTCTTTCAATTGTCTTATCCTCCCCAAATTAGGTTTTCCCTTTGTATCTACATTACTAACAACTGCTCCCTTCGTCCCTTATACACTCTAATTTTAGCCTAAGAATTTCTCCCACAAAGGCTTTATTAATAGAGTGGGTTCCACTAGAACTCTTTAATGCTACTTCATCCTTTTCTTCTCGTTTTAGTCATCATACCAGTAAAACTCCTTCCTCTTCATTCTCTCTGCACTAATGAAGGGCATAGTAGTCTTTTAACCTCCTACTTAATCTGTCTTTGACTAGCCGAAAGTACAATCTTTTAGTGATGGAGGGAGTATCTCTTCTTTCATGCACCGTTTTTATCAACACGAACATATCTGCCACTTTAAGATATAATCTTATTCGACAATCAAGATGCTACTATGTGATTTATAATTGATATAGTTCTGGGTATTATGTCCTGTTTGTGATTCTTTTTTGTTTTAACATTAACTGAGTATGTGTTACATTTATTTACAGAAAATTGTAATGTCATGTAGGTGCTCGTTATTGTTCTGTAGTGGGTGATTTTAATCAGTGGTCAACTACTGAAAATTGTGCACGCGAAGGTCATTTGGGACATGATGATTTTGGATATTGGACTATCATACTTGAAGATAAACTTAGGGAAGGGCAAGAACCAGATGAATATTATTTCCAAGAGTACAACTACGCAGATGATTATGACAAAGGTGATAATGGTGTTGATGTGGAAGAATTGATCCACAGAATGAACGAAGAGTATTGGGAACCTGGAGAAATTAAGTCACAGAAGTCTCGGTTAGAGGTGGTTGCTAAGCTATATGAGCAAATGTTTGGTCCAAATGGTCCACAAACAGAGGAGGAACTAGGTGACATACCTGATGCTGAAACAAGATATAATGAGTGGAAAGCCTTGCAGAAGGATGATTCAGCAAGTTCGTTGCCTTGCTATGATATCATTGATAATGGGCAGGAGTTTGACATTTTCAATGTTGCAACCGATCGAGTGTCATTTGAAAAATTTCAAGGAAAATCACCACCTCTTGCTTACTGGGTTGAAATGAGGAAAGGGCGAAAAGCTTGGTTGGAGAAATATGTTCCAGCAATTTCTCATAAAGACAAGTACCGTGTTTATTTTAACACTCCTGATGGTGGTTTGGAACGCATTCCTGCTTGGGCTACTTATGTTCTTCCAGGTTCTCCCAACTTATCATTGTAATGATATTCTTCTATTATTATAGATTGGCTTGCAATACATGTATTGTCATTGTTACTGTAAGTACTGCAGTTTGTCTCAGTACAATGCTGACTTAATTGAAAAGGTAGTAAATGACGATACAGATTTAGTAAAAGATGTTGTCACATTTTTTTTTATTGCTAGATCTTCATAAATGGCTACAGGTTTATTAATGATTATTATCATTGGTAATTATAAGGTTTGTTGTGATAAGCTGACATGATTACACAAGTTGCATGTTGTTTTCTTGCAAAGATTTTTCTTTAGTTTGTAATATTAATAGTTCTACTTTAAATAGCTCTTGCACTTTGCACATACATTATTAGATTATTTTGTTAAATGTTAATGCCATCTTTACTTGTCGAGCTCACAGCTCTCGTGTTCAATTTTCCAATCCAGGTTAAATAATAATTCAAAATTCTAGTTTTTGTGTAGATGCTGAAGGGAAGCAGTCCTATGCAGTACACTGGGATCCTCCTCCAGAAGAAATTTATAAATGGAGATTTGAACGGCCGAAGGTCAAAGGTTCACTTAGGATATACGAATGTCATGTTGGAATAAGTGGATCGGAGCAAAAAATATCGTCATTTCAGGAGTTCACATCAAATGTATTTCCTAACACCTGCCTTTCGGTGTTTTGTGGTTACTCTTAACTTCATTATCAACTTTTGTTTCTTCCATTAGGTCCTCCCTCATATAAAAGATGCTGGCTATAATGCTATTCAATTGATTGGAATTGTGGAACACAAGGATTACTCTTCTGTTGGCTATAAGGTGAGAATTTACTGATTTAAACAGCATATTGTAATAATATACAATATTTCTCTGTGGTCTTTTTCTGTAGCAAAGATTGGAGTTCAACCACTCGGTAGCAATAATATCACAGAATATAACCCCATAATGGATTCTATCAAACCTTGCTCTCGAACCCATCATGCTTGTAATCATGTAGATTCACTTATACTTGGGTGGAATCTTGTTAAACCATCCTTTTCCTTGTTGCCATGTAATTGTTTACCCATTCTTGGTACCATTTTCTCTGCAATGTGAGGTAACCTTGTTCCTGCTGTCAGGTAAACACTTTACTGCTTTGAGTAAGCTATCACAAACTTCAAGTCAACTCCACTGGAGTTCCAACAAGACTATAAAGGGCTACCCTTGCCCAAATGGAAGTTAAATTCAATGAACCATTAAAATGCTGGCTATGCTGATCGCTGATAAAATCAAACGAAATGTGGTGTAACCTTGATTCTACAATTGGAAACATACTTATGGTTTACACCTTTACACTTAACCACACTGAGCAGAGTGATGTACTTTGTAGTCCAAAACTCCAAATATATCTAAGTGTCTGGGAATATATACAGTGTAAAATGAGATTTTTGAAATATATTCTGCTATACCATACAGTCAGACAATAATAATGAACATCGTAAACTTTTACAAACTAATATACATGGGATCTAATGATGCTTCAGATAACTTTCTAGCTTTCAGGAGGTTTCGGGAGTTATGGAGGAAAAAAACTATTCGTTGTAATCAGAGAATTTATGTTGTTAAAATAACTGCCACAATGATTTTTCTCCGATGTAGAATTACATCCAGAAGCTACACTGTAAATGATTACTGCATTTATAAACAATAGAAATCTTCCACTGTATTCAACTCTTTTTAGAATATTCCATTTCTGTATAGTTGTCTTAGAAAAAATGTGTTGTATTTGCAGGTCACCAATTATTTTTCAGTCAGTAGCAGATTTGGCTCGCCAGATGACTTCAAAAAACTAGTGGATGAGGCACACGGTTTGCTTCTCAAATATAATTATTTTGAGCAACAATGGAAATTCACACAGTAATTTAAAAACTCATGCTTATTCATGTGGTAGTCCTGAGCTTACTGCACGCGTTATATTTGAGGCAGGCCTTGCACAAAACGTTCTTTGCATTAAAATATTTTCTGTTTTCTTGCTTTTGGCAAAGTTGAATTTCCAGGTCATAGTAAAAAGAGTATCGCATTTTGGTATGTCTAACTGTGCTACTAGGTAGTGCAAAGTGCAATTTACTCTAAAAATAACAATGAAGTCTTTGTGTTTGATATCTTCTTGGTGCTTTTCATGCATTCTGTTATGCATGCAAGTTTGAAATATCACAAGTGGCATATCTGTAGCAAATTGTCCTATAATTTGGTAGCACTATATTATGAAGTGAAACAGTCACAAGAATTAACATCTGTGCCTTTTCACACCCTTGTGGTTTGCTCAGGCCTTGGATTAGTGGTGCTTCTTGATATTGTCCACTCCTATGCATCAGCAGATGAATTGGTTGGCTTATCCCTCTTTGATGGTTCTAATGATTGTTACTTCCACAGCGGTACGTAACATTATATCTACTGCTTTTTGTTCCTTATTGTAAACTTTGTTTTACTGAGGATTATATGTAGAATTATATGTAAACTCTTTTTCTGCTTTTTTATTGTATTGTTTCAATTTGTAAATAATAAGTTTTCATTCACCATGTTTGCTCTATGGCAAATGTCTTACCACGACTAAATGAGTTCAACTTAATAAACTCAAGAAGGACCATCATCCTTGCTCATAGGAGCCAAATTTACAGTTTTGTTTACAAACATTTATAGGTGGGTTGAACTGCTTAATATGAGGAAAGCATCCTGTTCTTGTAGACCAAGATTAACTTGATAAATAATTGGGTAAATTGGATCCATGCAATTGTAAATTTGCCTATTCAGATAAATGGCATTACCATCGTCTATTTGTAGCTGTGCCACTGAAATTTTACAAAATTAAGACCGTGTTACTGCCATCACATTTTCCATGCTTCTCCTTTTTTTTTTTTAGTTTTCTTCCTTTCTCCCGTCGTCTTCCCTCTCCTGTCCTCTCTTCCTTACTCGCGCCAAACAACGCTCGGTGTAGCGAGGGCCAAGGAGGCGACGGCGATGGCCAAGGGCGCGGTGACAACGTCCTCCCGGATCTGGGGTGGCCGGGGACTAGGAAGGTGGCGCTCGCAGAGGCCTGGCCCGCCCGAGCGTGGGGTGGTGTCCAGCTCAGGTTGCTAGAGGCGGCGGCTTCAAGGCGCTCGTGCTAGGTGCCGGTGACCTCGAAATCCAAGAGCGACAAGGTGGTCTCCTCCGCTTTTGTGCTCGTTGGCGGGTGACTACCTCTGCTTCCATGCTCGTTGGCGGGCGACCTATTGTAGCGTCGACAAGGAAGGGGACGTTCCGGACCTCATGCCGCGGCCGCTCGTCTTCGATCTTATCCCGCTGGCCGGAGAGGACGGGGTTCGCTGTCTGGATCTGCCGGTACAAATGGGAGTGAGTCGACGACAACGATGACGATGATGGCTCTTGAGCCCTCGCGCCCCCAGCCTACTCAAGCACAAGCTCGCCGCCACCTGCCCCGAGCTCCTTCCGCCGGCCGAAGAGGATGGAATTTGCAAGATCTAGCTCGGTGGAGACGCCGACGCCGCAGGAGCAGAGACGAAGGGCAATGATCCCCGGCCCCATCAACCGCCATCCTTCTTGCTCTACCCCTTCCCCTTCAACAGTCATTGCTGATGCCGTGGAGCTCCTCCCCGAGGGAGCCAGAGCTTGCCAGCCAGCGTGGTCAACGCAAGAAGATGGGAAGAGAGAAGGAAGAAGATGGAAAAAGGAGATGGAGGAAAACGTGATGGCAGTGGCACGGTCCGTCTTATTTGAAAAATTTTGAAAAAAATTAAAAACAAAAGTCACGAGTAAATTACTATTCATATTTTATCATCTCATAACAACAAAAATACTAATTATAAAAAATTTACAAATAAGACGGACGATCAAAGTTAGGCGTGGAAACTCATGGTTGCACTTATAATGGGACGGAGGTAGTAATATTCTAGTGGCACGGCTACGAATAGATGAATTGTAATGACATTTATCTAAATAGGCACATTTGCAATGGCATGGATCCAATTTACCCTAAATAATTTGGTCCAACAGCAGTAGTAAAAGTTAAAACAATAGCAGTCAACATCTAGCATAATATATGATAGGTTACGTTGGCCATACACAGGAAAAAAATCGTGCAATTTCCTCTCAACTTGATATTCATATTGTATATATTGCATGAATTTAATGATTAGTTGGTAGCTGTTTGACCTGATTTGTGCCCTGTGTACTTGCCTGTTCATATGGACAACTGATTGGTAGAAGTAACATACTGATACTATTAAGTAAAAGGCCCATGAAATTTGTACTGACATGCCTAGCATTAATGTTTGTTGTCGAATGGACAACTATGCCACGTCGAAAGGCGTGGTTCTCTCAACAGCAGTTGGAATGTAAAAGCAATTGTATTGATTCGTGAAATATTTTTGGGGATCCCCCCATTACATGGCCCTAGAGGTTTATTTATAGCCTTAGCACAAGCTTGCACCTTCTAGTGTTTAGGGTTACAGGGGATTTTACATGGTTGCCCTTATGAAAGGGACATTTACATGGGTATGCAGTGTCATTTGCACATATGGGCCTTTAATGGGCTGATAGGCTGGGCCTGGTCTATGGCAAACGGGCCTAAAAGGCCGGGGGCAGCCTGTTGGGCCTCCTTGATGCCGAACTCGTCATGGCGAAGTCTTTGTAGTTTGCCCGAGATGCCTTTACTTTCGGAATACCGACGCGGCTTTCCAGCCTTCGCCATCTTCGCTTATGGCTTTCGCCATAGGGCTTCGCCTGAATGGCCTTGACGTCTTTGGCTTGAATCCTTGATGGTACTATAGTTTCGGCAGGTCCGGCCGAAGGGCTTCATGGCATGCCTCCAACAAGCCCCTCACGGGCAAGAGTGAGTAAGGAGCTTTGGCCGAGACCGTGCAAACTATACGGTATGGCATGAGGCGTCCCCTTTCGGCCGATGTTCCTGCCGAAACCTCTTTTTAGACTCCTGCAGAAAAAATATGAACACTGGCGTTCGCCTTTCGAGAATGGCGAAGCTGTATTATGACACTGGGTGATTATATTTTGCCAAGTTTGTCTGCTTTGCGCGATTCTTGACTTGTATTTTTTTCTTTCCCCTTTTCCCTATTGTTTTAGCGGGGATTTCGCCGAAACTCATGCGTTCGGCCCCCTTTTGGGGATTGGCGAAAAGATTTGTTGACTTTTCAGCTTTCGACTTCCGTTTTCGACTCGTAGCATTTTGCGTTGGGAAAAACGCTTGTGTTTTGCGTAAGTTGAATGTAACGGCGTTCGGTATCTTTATTCCGAAACAAGCTGTCGCGGTTTCAACGTTCGGCGAGCGATGCTTCGGCCGATTCGTTTCGCCCCCCTGGCGTTTTCGTCGATCAAGCGTTCGCCTTTTATGTAGCTATGTGGTTGTCAAAATGGCGAATTGGAGGCGAAGACATCCTGGTCGAACCTTAGAGGATTACGACCGGTGCCACATCCAGCGCCACGATGCCATTGCCTTACTTTGGTTAGACTTCGAAATGACTAATCATCAAGTTGTTATCGCTTGACGTCGGTGTGTATTTCGCTTCCTTCCCCCCTTAGAGTCGTGTATAGTATAGATGAAGAACCGTGTTCGCGGGACTTAGTAGGGGCGAGGCAAAAATGTTCTGAAACGGATGATGTAATTTTTTGCTCCTTTGTATAACACGTATGTGCTTTTGCCCGACGGAGCTTGTGCGTGTTTTTATGTTTCTTTTCGCTATCATTGCATTTTGTAACTTGTACGTTCGGAAGGGCAAGGCCTGTCGGCCCCCTTGCGTGTTAGCGAAAGGAATTCACATTGACTTTTCAGCCCTCATCATTCGCTCTCGACTTTTGGCATGTGCGTCCAGAAACGCTTAAGTATTTGCATAAGTCGAGTGTAGCGACGATCGGTATGTTTTCCGAAAACGAGCTGTCGCGGTTTCAACGTTCGGCGAGCTGTGCTTCGGCCGATTCGTATCGGCCCCCTGGCGTTTTCATCGATCAAATGTTTGCCTTGGGGTTTTTCCACGAAATATCATACACAAAAATGGCGAAGACACCCATGAATTTTATATGACTAAGCGTCAGTTTGCCATTGCCCAGCGTCGACGCAGCATTATCCCCGTTTTTCCTTCTTCACCGCTAAATTTTTTTTTGTGTTGATCTAACAACTAGCGATGAAGAAGATGCTCAAGGGGGTAGTCCTTCGCCATTTGAGGACTGCTTTTGTTAATGAATCGGATGTAAAGTCCAAATGCCTTTTGGCGGGCAATGGAATTTATCTGTAACTTTGCTTTTTGGCAAATAAATGGGGTGTGGTGCGTGTTACGGCTGTTCGGCTCGTACTTTCCCCTTTTTGCCTTTTGGCAAAGGTATTTTTAGGTACTATGATCGTTTTGACCGTTGCCGGCTTTCGGTCTTTTTAGCACTTCGACCTTTTTAATTGTTACCGGCTTACGGTCATTTCTTTAGTGCTGCTAGGGTTTTGTCGTTCGTCCCTTTTGGCTGCCCCGTTTGTCTGCGGGTGTGCAACCGATGCGAACTCGATTTCAAGTTTTAGCCCCTCGCACATTTCCTTGGACTTCTCGGAGTCAAACCGCTTGTTATTGCCGGTAATGAACTCTTTCGGCATACCGAATCGGCAGAAAATGCTTTTTCGAACGGATTTTTACACTAGTGCCGAAGGTACTGCCTTAGCCCATCGAAGGCGGCTTGACACTCAGGTGTCCAATTGAGTTTGCCGGCCCCTTGGAGCATCTTGAAAAATGATAAATCTCTTTCGGTTGCTCTTGGGAGCAACTCCTTAACTCATTTTCGCCCCTAGCCCTTGTCGCCGTACCTCGCTGGTACTGTGGCGAAAGGCGTGGGTGTGGCGAAACCTGTTTGCCCGCAGCCCTTGGCGCCGTACCTTATTGGTACTATGGCGAAGGGCATGGCGTGTGGCAAAAGCTGTTCGCCCGCAGCTCTTGACGCCATACCTTAATGGTATTGTGGTGAAGGGTATGGGTATGGCGAAAGGCTCCAGAGGCTAGGGTGGCCTCATAGCCCCTGAGCTTGGAAGCAACTCATTTTCGTCCCCAGCCCTTGTCGCCGTACCTTGCGGGTACTGTGGCGAAGGGTGTGGGTGTGGCGAAAGGCTCCAGAGGCTAGGGTAGCCTCGTAGCCCCCCAGCTTGGAAGCAACTTATTTTCGCCCCCAGCCCTTGACGCCATACCTTATTGGTACTATGGCGAAGGGTGTGGCGTGTGGCAATACACCGTGCCTCGTGTGGCGAAACCTCTTCGTCCGCAGCCCTTGACGCCGTGCCATATTGGCACTATGGCGAAGGGCGTGGGTTGGCGAAACCTGTTCGCCCGCAGCCCTTGACACCGTGCCTCGTGTGGCGAAACCTCTTCGTCCGCAGCCCTTGACGCCGTGCCATATTGGCACTATGGCGAAGGGCGTGGGTTGGCGAAACCTGTTCGCCCGCAGCCCTTGACACCGTGCCTCGTGTGGCGAAACCTCTTCGCCCGCAGCCCTTGACGCCGTGCCATATTGGCACTATGGCGAAGGGCGTGGGTTGGCGAAACCTGTTCGCCCGCAGCCCTTGACGCCGTGCCTTATTGGCACTAAGGCGAAGGGCGTGGGTGGACAAAACCTCTTCGCCCGCAACCCTTGACGCCGTACCTCATTGGTACTATGGCGAAGGGTATGGCGTGTGGCGAAACTTCTTCGCCCGCAGCCCTTGACGCCGTGCCATATTGGCACTATGGTGAAGGGCGTGGGTGGGCGAAATTTGTTCGCCCGCAACCCTTGACGCCGTACCTCATTGGTACTATGGCGAAGGGTATGGCGTGTGGCGAAACCTCTTCGCCCGCAGCCCTTGACGCCGTGCCTTATTGGTACTGTGGCAAAGGGCGCGGGTGGGCGAAACCTGTTCGCCCGCAACCCTTGACGTCGTGCCTTATTGGCACTAAGGCGAAGGGCGTGGGTGGACGAAACCTCTTCGCCCGCAACCCTTGACGCTGTACCTCATTGGTACTATGGCGAAGGGTATGGCGTGTGGCGAAACCTCTTCGCCCGCAGGCCTTGACGCCATGCCATATTGGCACTTTGGCGAAAGGCGTGGGTTGGCGAAACCTGTTCGCCCGCAGCCCTTGACGCCGTTCCTTATTGGCACTATGGCGAAGGGCGTGGGTGGCCGAAACCTCTTCGCCCGCAAGCCCTTGACGCCGTACCTTATTGGTACTATGGCGCAAGGCGTGGGTGTGGCGAAACCTGTTCGCCCGCAGCCCTTGACGCAGTACGTTATTGGTACTATGGCGAAGGGCGTGGGTGGGCGAAACCTGTTCGCCCGCACCCCTTGACGCCGTACCTCATTGGTACTATGGCGAAGGGTATGGCGTGGACAAAACCTGTTCGCCCGCAGCCCTTGACGCCGTGCCATATTGGCACTATGGCGAAGGGCGTGGGTGGACGAAACCTCTTGATGCCGTACCTCATTGGCACTATGGCGAAGGGCGTGGGTGGACGAAACCTGTTCGCCCGCAACCAACCTCTTCGCCCGCAGCCCTTGACGCCGTGCCTTATTGGCACTATGGCGAAGGGCGTGGGTTGGCGAAACCTGTTCGCCCGCAGCCCTTGACGCCGTGCCTTATTGGCACTATGGCGAAGGGCGTGGCGTGTGGCGAAAGGTGTCCAGAGGCTTGGGCGGCTTCGTAGCCCCCCAGCTTGGACTTAACTCACTTTCGCCCCAAGCCCTTGTCGCCGTACCGCGCGGGTACTGTGGCGAAGGGTGTGGGTGTGGTGAAAGGGGTTCCATTTCGCCTTTTCGGTCTGGGTTCCCCACGGACGGCGCCAGCTGTTGTCGAATGGACAACTATGCCACGTCGAAAGGCGTGGTTCTCATGTAAAAGCAATTGTATTGATTCGTGAAATATTTTTGGGGATCCCCCCATTACATGGCCCTAGAGGTTTATTTATAGCCTTAGCACAAGCTTGCACCTTCTAGGATTTAGGGTTACAGGGGATTTTACATGGTTGCCCTTATGAAAGGGACATTTACATGGGTATGCAATGTCATTTGAACATATGGGCCTTTAATGGGCTGATAGGCTGGGCCTGGTCTATGGCAAACGGGCCTAAAAGGCCAGGGGCGGCCTGTTGGGCCTCCTTGATGCCGAACTCGTCATGGCGAAGTCTTTGTAGTTCGCCCGAGATGCCTTCGCCCGAGATGCCTTTACTTTCGGAATACCGACGCGGCTTTCCAGCCTTCGCCATCTTCGCTTATGGCTTTCGCCATAGGGCTTCGCCTGAATGGCCTTGACGTCTTTGGCTTGAATCCTTGCTGGTACTATAGTTTCGGCAGGTCCGGCCGAAGGGCTTCATGGCATGCCTCCAACAATGTTGAATGCTGCATGTGGTTTGACATGTTGTATTATTTAAATTTCATATGTTCTACACATCTTAAATTTCGTATTTCCCTAAGACTGATTTTTTTTTATGCTTCTTTGCTACTACAACATCCTTGTTGTAATTGATCCTTGGCAGGAAAACGAGGGCACCACAAATACTGGGGTACCAGAATGTTCAAATATGATGATATTGATGTTCTACACTTCTTATTGTCTAATTTAAATTGGTAAAATCTAAGCATATGCTTTCATGCTGCTGTCTTATGTTCCGAATACTATCAAAATTTGATTCTTTTCTGTTCTATAATCTACCAGTAACTTAAGGACATCTGGCTAATTTTACTAGGTGGGTCACTGAATACCGTGTTGATGGATTCCAGTTTCACTCACTGCCTTCTATGTTATATACTCATAATGGCTTTTCTACTTTCACTGGTGCCACTGAAGAGTAAGTTCTACGCTTTCACTATTTTCCTAAAACATTAGTCACTACATTTCTGCAGTATGTTGATGTTCTACAATTTTCCAGAACCATATCTGCTCTTTATAATCTTAAATTCTTAATTGTAGGTATTACAATCAATACGTCGATGAGGATGCGCTGATATATTTAATTATAGCAAATGAGATGTTGCATGAGCTTCATCCAGATATTATAACAATAGCTGAGGATGTAAGTTGTTGTTATACTTGGTTTCTTTTCCTGTAAATTTATGTTCACGTCACATAATTATCAGTTTTAGATATGCAGTTTGGTATTGAGATATAGTTATCACCAATGTGCAACTTGGTACTGCCCTTCGGTTGCAACTATTGTAACACTGAGATGCCTGTCTAACAGAGTCATAGGCATACATGCTTTCTATTTAGTGACTGTAGGTCGCTATCTCTACCTATTAAAATGGATACTAGTTGCAATTTCCAAACTAATATTGTGTTAGTTTGGCATGTGTTGGTCCTTCAGTTTTTTTTACAGTGTTTTGTTTATACAGGCAACATTTTATCCTGGGCTATGTGAGCCAACCACTCAAGGCGGATTAGGATTTGATTACTGGGTCAATCTTTCAATTCCTGAAATGTGGTTGTGGCATCTTGAAAATGTTCCTGAGCAAGAATGGAGCATGAATAAGGTCTGCATGCTATCTAAATATTTTTGCATGCCATCGTTTGTGTGGCAAGATGTCTTGGGAATTCAGGGTTTCAGTTTATGCATTATTTTCCTTATGGAATTCCATCTTGATGATTATATGCCAGGACAATGGTTTTCCAAATCTCCAATTATAGTTTCCCTGCATTTGTTATTGTTGAAGTATCATATTTCTTATCCAATGACTATCTTGGACTATGCTGTCACAGATTATGAGAGTACTAGTAAACAACAACAGTAATATGCTATCTTACGTCGAAAATCACAACCAGGTGATACTATTTGTCTAATTTTGTCTGTTGCTACTAATTATATCATGTTATTATTACTGTAATCTCTTCTTACTGAAAGAAACAGCACAGATCCTGCACATGGTTGAGAAAACATATAATGTTAATATGTTATTATATCATGCTTAGAAACAGCAAACTTCTATTTCACCATAGTGTAATATTCTTTTACCAAGTCACTTTCTGAGAAACTTGACCAATTTGATTAACTGTGTATAGTGCATTTTGCTACTAGCATATGGTAGCCATTTTTATCCTGGCATATTGGGCTTAATCGCAATAAAAGTCTCAATTATTTCACTAGTGATAATTCTTGTATATTGACACTGTACCTCATTTCCTTAAATTTAGAGATTTGTTCAATTATCTCTCTAGGGCATGGTTTTTTCCCTGAACGTACCTTATAATGACATATGTTGGTGCTCTTTTCTTAAGATGCATATTTTGGTGCTCTCTGCTTAGACATTGCTGAATAGCTGGCTGTATCATAATATTGTGAGATTGGTTTGAACAAGGGCATGGGCAGATGTGTAAAACTCATGCTTCATTGTCTTTTGTACTGATACTATGCTTGCGTAATGCATATATGTCCATGAATTTCAGAATCCTAGTTATGTTTTCTGGAATCCTAATCAAATATTTTTGGAATCCTTATGGAGGGACACTCTACGTGGTTTTCTGCATGCTGCTTCTTTACTTTATAGGAATCTTTAGATGTGTATTCATGAAAGCCAAACTGAAACATTTGAGAAATATATTCATTATTTATTTTCTCACCAAACTTTGTGATTAGGTTCTCACATCTAATATTTTGGTACAGTCAATATCAGGGCGGAAATCTTTTGCTGAAATAATTCTTTATGAAGGAAAGTGTTCAAATAGTTCTGTTGACAATGATTTGATTTTCAGGGCTTCCTCATTGCTCAATGTATGACTATCCCTAACTTGTAATTTTAATATTGTATACTTTGATTCATTATTGCACCTCTTAATTTCTTTGGTATAGCCCCTGTAGGAAATGATGAAAAATATTTAGTTTACATCGTCAGTTCTTTGCATTTGGTCAGTTCTTTGCATTTGGTTATGGTAGTGTCATGAACTTAGTTCATGACAGGGAAAACATTAGTTGGAGGTAGGTCGGATGGCAAGAACATGATCAGGTGGCTTCTCATAGCTGCCCCTAACATGTGATACTAATAGATATGCTAACAAACAAGAGATAAGCATTTGATCTGAACTAATTTTAAGATGAGGAAATATCTAGATGAGAAGCATTCTTGCCTTGCTGCGTGGCTGGCCCAGTAACTAGGGATACACATAGGTCGACTCGAGGTCTGACCCATGGTACCCAAGGTGATAAATTACAGGCCGGGTCAAGCTGACCCACGTATCTTTGCTTGACCCATTGACTCATGGAACCTCATGCATTGACCCATTGACCCTGACCCCTTGTGCATTCAGGCGCAGCTTGCAAATCAACGCACAAACCAGCAGATCCCATGCATGCGAGCAAACCAATTGATGCGGCACAGAGAAATGCTTCTGAAAATCTGAGCAGACAAACACAATCCGAGCATATAAACTCATACATAGCAAACCAATTGCTCTGAATTTTTTCACTCAAGAATGGATCTGAATACAATCAGATGAAAATCCCACACTTGACCTATAGCAGATGGAGAACAATCTGCGCGCCTAGCAGTGCCAAATCGATCCATCTGAGCCAACCCTTTCTTCAGTGGTAGCCAGGAACAATGGCGCAGGGCCGAGAACAGCGCAGGGACGAGGTGGTAGGACAAAGCACTGGGAGGTGATGCAGATGGCGGCGACGGCTGAGCATCTGTGCATACTCAGTAGGAGGCAGGTGGGTCGACCCACCTCTATATGGCCATGGTGGGTCGACCCATGCTGACCCATGAAGGCCCTGTTTAGTACCCAAACAAAAATTTTTCACCCTGTCACATCGAATTTTTAGACACATGCATGGAGTATTAAATATGGACAAAAAAAAAACTCATTACACATATTGCATGTAAATTGCGAGACAAATCTTTTAAGCCTAATTGCGCCATGATTTGACAATATGGTGCTAAACATTTGCTAATGACGGATTAATTAGGCTTAATAAATTTGTCTCTCAGTTTACAGGCGGAATCTGTAATTTGTTTTGTTATTAGTCTACGTTTAATACTTAAAATGTGTGTCCGTATATCCGATGTGACATGCCAAAAATTTTCATTCGCGAACTAAACAGGCCTGAAATTTGATGGGTAAACCCATGTGAGTTTGACCCCATATTCCCACGTGCATCCCTACTAGTGACCTGCTACACATAGAGCCCATGCTCCAAGCCTATGACAGTAGCGCACTGCTGTGTGTCAGTGCAGATGGTGAACATTATTGGCCACATGCTGGTCAGGTAAGGTTGCCTGAATTATTTTGGCCAACTTTAATCTTCATAGCCTCAAATCCAACCTAGCTCATCCTCTAAGCAAGCTGTAGCTCAGCTGGACTGGTATGAGATAAGGGACCTCTGTGTTTATAGGCTTTCTGTATTTATTTTATTTTATGACATTCCTTATCATAGGAATTGATGAGCAATAAATTTTACGTTCTGCCAAAAATAATCTTCTTTCACATGTTTCAGATAATCAAACTAATTACTTTTACAACAAGTGGTGGTGCATATCTCAACTTCATTGGAAATGAATTTGCACATCCAAAGGTGAGGTACCTACATTACATTCAGAATTTGATAGCCTTACTTCAATTTCAATTTTGTGAGCTTGATCTCTCATTTTTTGCAGTAGACCTTCTAAGCATTTTTTGTTATTATTTCAGAGAATTGAGTTTCCTATGTCAAGCAATGACTATTCCTTCTGCCTAGCTAATCGGCAATGGGAACTGCTGGACAAGGGTGTCCATAAACATATATTCAACTTTGACAAGGTATGTAATTACAAGTTAGGAGGCAAGGAAAACAGTCTTTGCTGAAAACATGTGACATCTGTTAACATGTAATCTCTGAATCAGTACTATTAGTAGTTCTTCCTTAGCTAGTAAGCATAGTATAGGTCAGTAGAACTTTTTCCTTCTCCAATAAGCTAGACCTGCTAGTAAGTCACGTATGTTTTTCCTTGGTCAGCAAGTCAAGTAGTCTTACACAGTAAGCTTTCTTAGCCAACAAGGTGGTGTTTGAATCTCCTGAAGATGAAGATTAAGTGTTTCACGCAAAATGAGGTGGTAATAACGTGTGATTAATTGAGTTTTAATTATTACAAACTTGAAAAATAGATTAATGTCATATTTTAGAACAACTTTAATATAGAAAGTTTTCGCACAAAACGCACCGTTTAGCAGTTCGAAAAGCGTGCCACTTTTATCCAAAAGTTTATCTAGTTTTTGTTGGAGAAAAGTCTAGTAGCTGCTGCCTCCACATGTACTATATGTATGCCAATATGCAATGCAAGCTAAGCTTTTCAGCAGCACATAATCAGGTTTTCAGCTAGACTTTAGGTTACCAAACATCCAGTTTTATCAGCGGGTCCTAAAATATTTGGATTTGTATAGAGAATCAACACCCTTTATTACAGAAAATGAGCTATACATGTTGACCATAGAGACATTTTTGTGTTTTTGTTGCATTTTCCCCAATAAAACAAGTTCTGAGTTGAAAACTTTTGAACAAAATGGTCTGATTTATTTGTCACAAGCGTCAAGGGTGACCCCCCACACCCCCCCCCCCTAAAAATGCACTGTAGATAGTAGATATTGTACGACTCATAGGGCATAGGAAAAACAAGTCCTGGATGTCCTTTCTGGTTCTTGATACCGAAAATAAGTTTTTAATGAATCTGATGTTTCTTCAGAATTTGTTTTCTATTACAATAACAAAAGAATCTCTTTTATATTTCAACTATTGATGGCTGGCTCAAAACATTGTTGTGCTATGAATGTGAATGATTTGAACTAACACGTACCAATTTCATCCCAGGATATCATGAGCTTAGATGGCAAAGAGAGGCTAATTTCTGGGGGTTCACCCATTGTTCATCACTGTGATGACACTAGCATGGTATGTACATCTTTTGTTAACAGAAGATCAAACCTATTTTACAAACTAATAAAGGTGATGCTTTTTTTGTTCTTTTATTTTGGTAACTTTATCATTTTAATCATAGTATTAATTATAAACATGCATAATGTTGGATTAGGGATAGAGAAAGCAAATGTGTGAACAATTGTACCTTTTAGCCCCAAAAATACAGTATGTTGTCATACCAGTTTAAAAGTAGGCAATATCAGTAGAAGAGAAGCAGAAAGGTGGGGAAACTCTCCCTATACTTAGGCCTTGTTTAGTTTGCGAAAAGAAAATTTTTGGGTGTCACATCGAACCGGATATCGGACATGAATGAAAAAACTAATTTCATAACTCACCTGGAAACCGCGAGACGAATTTATTAAGCCTAATTAATCCGTCATTAGAACATGTGGGTTACTGTAGCACTTATAGCTAATCATGGACTAATTAGGCTCAAAAGATTTGTCTCGCAATTTCCATGCAAATTATGCAATTAGTTTTTCATTTTATCTATATTTAATGCTCCATGCATGTGTTTAAAGATTCGATGTGACGTTTTTGGGAAAAAAATTTTGGAACTAAACAAGGCCTTAAAATGCCCTTTAACAACTATCATCCCTCTAAAATGCGTAGCATATTGCAATACCATTGCATTTGATAGGGTTTCCAATCAACATAAACAATCCGTAGTCCAAATCTTGAAAAATTGAAATTGTTGTTGTTGTGTGCAACTCTTAGAAAAATTTCATGTAGATCTTTTCCACTTCAAAGATTATTGCAGAAACAAACTTGGTGTTATCCTAGTCCATAGATCATAATAAGGTGTTTTACACACTGATTTACTGAGGAGAGTGTTTAACATATGCTCTGCTTTCTTTAAAGCTTCCATCCATAAATTATCTGCTAAACTAGAGTGGGTTAGTATACTCCGTACCAAGTCCATAAGGTTATAAAGTTATACCTTTCAGCTGCTCCATATTATTGAGATTTGTCAGGAATGGAATATTAAACCACTATTCCATTTTCTTCAAGATACTTAGTCAAAGAGCCAGGAATTGTTCGTAAGGTGCATTTTCCAATGACACAATAAAAAACATCAAGGCCTGAAACGGGAACTGAAGCTAAATTCCTTCTCATGGATGGGACATAGAGAACATTATTTAGATGAAGGATGAAGCCGCTTTCCAAACTCAATGAAAGTTATCCAACAACCTATACTTCAGCCTCTTGACCATTAGCGACTCTAAGCCCCCCACCCCCGCCCCCCCCCCCCCCCCCCCCCCCCCCGGTGTTCACCATTAGTGACTGTAAGCTCTCTCGGGCCCCCTTGTTATGGTCCTTATTGAATGAAATGCGTGCATAGAGTTAGGGACATGCACAGCAGCACTGGAATCAACCCACCATGACAAGTGGAAAACCAGTATAGCAATATACCGAGTAAATTGCATCGTTGGTACACGAACTTGTTAGGTGGGTTTAATCTAGTACACGGACTTGTAAAATGCTCATTTTGGTGCATAAACCTGTCTGGTGCGTGCGGAGGAAGGCGAAAATGACACTACATTGCTAATCTTATTGATTTAGGGCATATATCTGAGAAGGTTGCTATTAGATATACACCTCTTCAATAAAAAATAGAATATGATATAGTGATACTAGAAAATGATTAAAAAAACGAGCAATGGTATAAAGGTTAGAAATATATGAAATTCATCATTTCCATGGTGAAGAATAAAGTAGAGACCAAATTTATAAATATTGAATGTCCTATGCATACTCACTACACGTGTGTATGCCACATCCTAATCAACATCACTTCATAAAATTAACATTATCAAGTTATTTTGGTTATCATTCGCACGAACTAGACAAGTTCGTGTACTGAAACGAGCATTTTACAAGTTTATGTACTAAATTGTACCTACCTAATAAGTTTGTGTACCACCAATACAATTTACTCGCAATATACCATTACCCTTCTTGGGGAGCCACTGATGGAAGCCAGCGCAATCCTTATTGCAGAAGCGACAGGTCATGACAGTTAGGTGTGGCGGGAGACAGGTCATGACAGTTAGGTGTGACAGTTAGCTAATATGTGTTTTTAGCCATATGATTTTGTGGCATTTCTTTGCATGGGTGGCTGGCAGGTCAGCAAAGTGGCTGCCCTACTTGCACCTATAGCATCAAGTGGGATGCCCACGACCCTGCAGGTGTGCAGCCGTGTATGTATGAACTTGAACATGTCGGATTGTTGAAGCGACTAGTTAGCATGCACGTGCAAGGCACGTTTTGACATATACTTTACTAACGATTACAAAAGTAGAGCAATGAGTGTGGCCATTTTCTATGCAGTACCCTCCATATGAATTCTCCGTAATAACAGAGTTTCATTTCTACGCTTCCAAGTAAATTCTTCATGATAAAGAGAGTTTCGTAGTCACTCCATTCTAAACTCCAACAAGATATAAAATTTTTCTCGATTTCCGTTAGTATGTTCTTTAAACTGCTAAACAGTGTGTTTCGTGCGAAAACTTTCTACATAAAAGTTGTTATAAAAAAATAAATAAATCCATTTTTTAAATTTTTTATAATTAAATTTTAATTAATCATATGCTAATGACTTGTCTTGTTTTGGTTGCGCATTTAATCTTCATCCTTGTTGAAGAATCGAATGGGACCTAAGGTTTCATACAAAGATGCATCCACGCCAAAGAATCACATCATCATGGTTAAGAATGCATCCCCCACATCATCATATCTTATGGTTAAGAATGTAAACTGTTCAGGGGAAACGGGTGTTGTCAGTGTGTTGGTAAACATGAAAATCAGGAAGCATAGAGCATAAAGGTTTGAGTTTCAACAAAGTTAGCTCAATAATTTTGCTATAACAGTGAGCGTAAGCTTCAATTTTTCATGTGAACTTATACAGTCAATTGGATGATAGGCAGTTAAACAAATTATCCATGCCGGGATTAGATTAAAAAAATCACCATATACTGCTCTGTCTCACTGCAATGATTAGTCATACAATATATGATAGATGCATTTTTCACACATAAGTACCAGCAAATATTACAGTGGAACTGGCCGAAGTGCTAAACATATCGTGCATGTCAGATTATGATGCATTCTAATATGATAGGAAGTGAACATATGAGTAGTAAACTTGCTTGCATATGCCTACAATGTTGCCACTGAGTTCAGGGAAAAATAAACGTTTCAGTTAGGATGAAATGATCAGAAAAAAAAAACCCTAAACAAAGGAAAGATCAACAAACATTGAATGTTGGAACGGTGTTGCCCACTGTAGGTTGTTATGCTTTCTCGACCTCACCAAATAGACCTAGAACGTAACAATGCTTTGCTCCCTATCCAGGAAAGCCAGAGAAGTAATATAATCCAACATCTCTAATTGTGCCAAGAGATTGCCTTGGACCTGGCACACATGGAAGGATAGTAAATGGAGTATTAATCCCTACAGATATAGGTTGTTTGCAGCAATTGAAGCCTCACATCATACTACATTTGAAGTCCCACCGACCTACATATGTAATCACAGCCAGAGAAAGATAAAAAGGCTAAAATAATAATAAGCAACACTTGCTTAATAGACCGCAGACACTGGAGTTTCCAAACATGGTAGCTTCCTTACTTGAAACAACATCTACATGAACTAAAATTGAAAGTTCTAACAAAGAGAATTGTTCAAGACTTGAATTGTATACCTGTAGAATGATTGAGTGCTCACAAGTCATAGGAGAGTCACTATACAATTTAATTAATACCTGCAGGATATAGTACTATAGTAGATCATATGCTTTCGAGACAATTACTTCTAAAAGCAGAGAGAAGATATCGATACTTTCTGAACATTATGAGATATATAAGATATGTTTCTTAACATAGATAGATTTCTCCAAGTGAGCCACCATTTAACCTTGAGTATCAATCAATCTACACAACGCATTGTATAAGTCAGCCTAAGAACTTAGGAGATTAACATGCCCTAAAATTAATGGAGAGATAACTACCGTAGCATTACTTTTTTCTACAAAAGAATAACAAATATGACCTTCTTTTCTCAGCATCAGCACTACACAGAACAAAAATAGTTTGAAGAAAATAGGTAAAACAATAAATCTGATCTCCTGTTCTATAAGCTGAATTCACCCAAAATTACTGCAAAAGATGAACATCATCATCATCTAGTGCATTCAGTATAAGTTTCATTATTCAAAAAAAAGAGAGATAAAGATGTAAATATTTGTACAATATACAATTTAAATGATAATCGTACTGAAATTCAAAAGACCACAATTTCATCATTTATGTTCCCACACCTAAAAAAACAAATTATCAGATTTTTCAAATCTGCTAGCTCATATTATGCTTAAAGTGATACAATATTGAACAAAGATCCAATGAAATGAGTTGTGCATGCCCAATATGTTGTGGCAACACACTGCTACATTCAAGCAGTAATATTTTATTTAGAAGAGCAAAGAACAGGGGAGACTGGGAAATTTTCATAGCATGAAACTTTGTAACACTTGAGATGCACCCTAAATTTTTTCTCACTAAAAAAAGTTTCAGTGTATCATCTCAGCTCTGAAATTAACCAATACTTGATGTTAAATTAACATACCTGTGTAAGCATCAGAAAGCATAAAAGCTATGGTAGTTATTCATTCATGTATTTCTAGAGCATTTATTTAGAGCAGGAAAAGTGCCCATATGTTATTTAATTAGCATTTCACATTTTCAAAATTCAAATTTTTAGTATCGAATTACAAAATATAAGCACATAATCTTACTGTCATCACCAAAGTGTTCCTCTCCACTTAACTTTTTGTATATACCAGTATAGTGTGGTGCAATTGCAGTAAATAGTTTTATTGTTAGCAAGCTAAAGCAGAGGATGCAACAGCAATTATTTTATTATAGAGCCAGAAGCCACAATATAATTCTAAAACCTAATTTGGACACAATGTATTTTTGCTCTAGCATAAAGAGGATGAACAATTCACCTCATTGTCGATATTGTTGTAGTCCACTCATTTCCATTAGACAAACCAATTGAATGGCATTCATTCGGTTCCTGTGACACCACAATCAGAATGTGGGCATGTATGTGGTTTTAGTTTAATTCAGCAGAGAGGAAAATCATATGTATACATTACCAGAAGTTAGCAATTGAAGACCTTCCAAAATCTAAGATGAAAACCAATGGGTACATCTGAGATGCAATCCAATGGGTAAATCTGAGATTAAAAAATGAAAGTTAATCAGAGCCCATTATCCATATCAAAACCATTCTGGACTTTGGTGAAGTTATAAAGGAAAATATAATTTCAGCTGGAATCCAGCAATATATTATAAGGAATGACATGCATCTTTTTTATTATGATTGACAGAGGGAGAAATCAGTGTACGATATTGTATACTTAACTAAAAATCAAAGGTCAGCTAATTAAAAAATATAACCAAAACATTCATGCAGATTTATACCGTTGGACTCAATACTTCAGCATTTTGGTAATCAGAATCTGGGTATGTATACTGGCTAAATGAAATCTGAGGGATCAAGCGGACTGTAAACCTCCACATGAAATCTGCCATTGGCTTACAACAAATTCAGATAGAAATGAAATCAGAATAATATTTGTGCTTACCTTCCAAATCCATCTTGAAATCAGCATAATATTTGTGCTTACCTTCCAAATCCATCTCTTCTAACATCAGTGCTTTCAGAATGTGTCTGGTAGGAGAGCTCTTTTGATATTAATGTAGAAATTGATAATATCCCAGAAGAGAATTGGTAGCCCAAACTGAGTCTGCTAACATTGATTCGTAGCCCAAACTGAGTCTCCTACCAGTGAGAATCAATAGCCCACACCTTTCAGAAACCCGCTGCATATGAAAGTCTAAATCTCACAACAAATGAGCAAGTTCTGACATCGATGCCCAATCAACATCGAAGGTATACACAAAATTGCAGCTAACTCATGGGGAATAGCTCAGGACCAGTAGGCATGGGGACTGGGGAGTCTCGTGAATCCCTTCGACACCAGGCACCCCTCCACAGCGCCACCCCTCATCCACTTCGTCAGCGCTAGAGGGTTTTGTCACATCATGAGACAGCAGTGGCAGCGGAAAAGCGGAACAGCGATTCGGCCGAGGGCGACCGGCGCGACATCTTCACATGGTGGCGGCGGAGAGCAACCTAGGATGTGGCAGAGTTGGATGCGGTGATGAGGGGGCGCAACGGGGTGGACGCCTCATGACGATGGTGGCGCAGTGGAGGCGGTGATGGGTCCGACGTCCCAGCATTAGGGAAGGTCCCTCACAAGGCACCATCGTGAGACAACGGCGGCGGCAGCGGCGGCAAGGGAAGAGTGAGGACGACAGTGGGGGATCGGCGGAGGCGACGGAGGTGGGAAAGGAGCTCCGTGTCGCAGCGTGGCACACGGGATTTGGAGGATGCGGGGCAGCGGTAGGAGTCATCAAGGAGCGAGCGCGCAGAGTTATCGTGCGGGGGCGAGGGTGTGGGCGGAAAGTGTGGTGGAGAGGATAAGGTCGCCGAGGATGGAATCGGATTGATGGATGAGATTATTTGGCTTAACGGATGGATGGTAGGGATTGATCTAGTTGATTTGGCCTGTAGGATTGGAGGGGTACAACTCCTCCTTTTTATATTAGTATAGATGTGGGGTGCTCACGCGATGTGGGAGCCTCATGAACTCTGTTTGTGCTGTCATGAAGGACAAAGAGTTCCCCTAGTTCAACATGGGTGTTGGTAGAAGCTGCTATCCTGCAGATAGTGACACACTGCTGGTAGCGGCTGATTTTTCTCCCTGATTTTTCTCCCTTGATATTGAGTTGACGGGGTTAAATTGGACTATTTTCCTTATCTGAACCGGTCTTTGTACTTGAAGGGGTAGAATACTGTCTCACAGGGGATTAAGTAGACTATTTCCTCGTTTCAACAAAGTATCAATATTCTGATCCACGTAGGCACCTGAACTGACCGCCTGATGGGGCTTATCACATAAGGGTTAAGTACACATGTTGCAGAGGGAACAAAAGGGAAAAATATTGTACTCTTGAGTTAAATCATGTTATGTCTGCATTCAGTTCCTTTTTTTTACTTCGGTGTTAATTATAGTACTCATATTGCAGATCATATATTTTACTAGAGGACCTTTCCTTTTTGTTTTCAATTTCAATCCTGACGCCTCCTATCAGCTCTATTCTGTTGGTGTGGATGAAGCTGGTGAATATCAGGTAACTAATGCTGTTTGTATGAACTTATTCTTTTGTAAATATGCAAGTGGCAGGCACATATAAAAATGTTGGAGCACCTGACACTTTGATAAATAAAATGAATATGTAAAAATGTAAAAACTACTCGTAGTGATATTTTTACCAAAATACTCTCTTTTTTTTTACCAAAATACTGCAGGTGAATTTCTACTTTTGTTTCTCCTCACTAGTTTTCGGTTTAAAAATGTATTTTTTTTCCTCGAAAAAGCAGGAGAGCTGCATTTCATTTCACTAAGGGGAAGAAAAAAACAATACAAAAACACAACACAAAGAAAAGCAAAAAAAAAAAAAAAAATTACAAAGTAGGAGTACCCGAGCCCTCCTACCGAGACCCACACATACTAGACTACCCGGGGAACTTAGTTGCCTAGGTTAGCCGTCCCACTCAGGAGCTTTTGAAGGCAAGAAGCTCCAGCAACACCCCAAAGATGGCCCTCGTTTTCTATCACTTGCAAGACTGTTGCTACTCTAGGATTGGCGTCGTTGAAAATGCAGTCGTTGCGGTGCTTCCAAATCTCCCAAGCTAGTAAGGTTACCAAGGACTTGATCCCTTTCCTCACCTCCTTCAGCCGGTTCTTGGTTGCTTGGCTCCACCACCTCAGAAAGCGGTCGGTAGAGGGCTGAGGCGCAGCCTCGGCTAACCCTAGTCTCAAGAAGATTGCCATCCAAACTTGGCGAGAAAAAACACAAGAGATCAAAATGTGTTGGATGGATTCTTCACTTTGATCACAAAGGGGACAGATCACTGAGTGTTGCAGCCCATTTCAAAAATGTAATTACATAGGGTGACAAGAGAAACTCTATCAACTCTTAATTTTCTACTTCTTGTACTTCTTGGTTTTGTGCTTCATATTTTTTGTTATTTGCACCCAAATGATAATTTGCTGTTTACATTTGTCAGTTGAAACTAATTGACATGGGATAGAAGTGTGTGAAAGGACTAAATGCTTATAATCTAGGCTTGATGCATACATCAGAAAACTTTGCCATGATAGTTAATGACTTGATGCTTTAAATCCTGAACAGTTTGTTTCATGCCTCGAGAAAATCTTGAAATTTTTATTAGCTCATTACTAATGCTGAGAATAAGAACAACTATTAGATTCTTGAAGTACTTGAGTCTGAATTTATTGAACAATTGCGGGTGTGGATTTTCAGAACCAGCAATGGCATGTATTTTATATCTGTTTGCTCTTTAGAGTTGTGTTCCCAGCACTGAAGTTATTGTGCTTCTATCATTTGGCCAGCTTATATTGAACACAGATGAAACTAAATATGGTGGACGTGGGGAGCTGACGAGCAATCAATATATGAAAAGAACCAGTGACAATAGGTGCTGTTTTTCAGTTTTCATATGATATACATTGTGAGTTTATTATTTTATCTGGAGGTATCCATATTTTGCAATCAAATAAGCATTGTTACTTTCATATAGGGTTGGTGGTTGCCGCAACTCCTTGGAATTGACATTACCATCTAGGAGTGCTCAGGTGGGTGGGTGTAAAGATATGTGATGCCAGAACTCCTTGGAGTTGGTTGTTGCCACAGCTCCATTACAACAGATATGCTTCTCTTTTAAAAGAATACACACGCTTGCAGGTATTCAAGTTGGTCCGAATTTTGAGAATTTAGATTCTCAAGGATGAGCATTGTTGATAGACCAAGCAATTCGGGTCCTCAGAAGACGGAACTTCTCTGTTAATATCTGAACTCTTGCAAACTTAAAGATTCGCATGGCAAAAACTGAGGTAATGGGTACTTGCGGTCTTTTCCCCATGTAATTATGATCTGCATTGATAGGTTTATTAACAATGCATTTTACTGCAAACCTCATCCCAGTGACATGGAAACTCACTTATGTTTTCATATGCCCTTTTTGACTGAATGCAATTCTGACCTTAGCTTTGTCTTAAAGAGAATAAAAGAAAGTAAAACATTTTTTTTTCATATTCGAGCATATTTATCCTATCGTCCACAGACTGGAGATGCTTTGCACAGTGCAATGGTAGGTATGTCAAAAAATTTTGCACATGCAGACTCCTAGACAGACAAAAAAAATACAACTAGAACAGTTCACGTCAGTTACACACTTAACTACATGACTGCTACCTCCGTCTCAAAATAAGTGCACTCGTGGGAATACGTGTCCAACATTTGACCGTCCGTCTTATTTGAAAAAAATTATAAAGAAATTTTAAAAAATTAGTCGCACATAAAGTAATATTCATGTTTTATCATCTAATAACAATAAAAATACTAATCATAAAAGAAAATCAAATAAGACGAACGATCAAACGTTGGACATGAATAGTGCAAAACCGCACTTATTTTGGGACGGAGGGAGTATAGTCCCGTTCTTTTCTCTAACATGAGTTGGAGATTAAGATTTTCGTGGCACGCGTTTCAAACTGCTAAATGGTGTGTTTCGTGCGAAAACTTTCTATATGAAAGTTGCCCTAAAATATCATATTAATCTATTTTTCAAGTTTGTAATAATTAAAACTCAATTAATTATACGCTAATACCACCCCGTTATACGTAATAAACATAATCTTCATCTTAATCTTCAGGGGAAAAGAACACCACCGTAGTGAGAGGATCCTTCAGGTATGAATGTCCATGCAGATGCAGATTGTTGGGTTGATGTTCGACGTCTCTGATTTGACCTTCTGTTGTGGTACAATATGAAGTATTGCAGTATTTATTTAGACCTCAAATTGCCTGTTCTGCTCACTCGTGTACCTTGATTCCATGCCTAGTGTGGGCGTGGCACCGTGGCTAGTTTAATCAAGGATGCTATAGAGTATATAGACTCATAGCTCCACAGTGAAACGCTCATAAGGAGTGCTATTGAAACTAATAAGGCTTTGTTTGTTCCAGCTGGGAACCTCGTAAGGAGTGCTATTGAAACTAATAAGGCTTCGTTTATTCCAGCTGGTTCCCAGCTCCTTTGCCCTCATTTTCTCTGTGCACGTTTTCCAAACTGCTAAATGGTGTTTTTTTTTGCAAAAGTTTATATATGAAAGTTGCTTAAAAAAATCATATTGGTCCAATTTTTTTTAAAAAATAACTAATACTTAATTAATCATGCGCTAATGGATCGTTCCGTTTTCGGTGCGTACTGTTCGTGTTGGGTACACAGGCTAACGAACGTAGCGTAAATATAGGCCAACTTGTCATCCACACCAGAATAGATAGCGCTGTCCAAAGAAACCTGTTAGAGCATCTTCAATAGATTGGCTATTTTAGACTCTCCAAATGCCCATTTAGCCAATTGGCCAAAAATTTAGAGTCATATTTGCCTTTTACTCTAACAGTCTCTCCATCCCACTCTCCAATCTTTCAGTGGGTCCCACATGTTAGTCTCTTACTTTTTTTTCCTTCCCTCTATCTTCCCCTTTTCGTGAGCCGCCGGCGTGCGGACGAGGCGTCCGTGGGAGGTGGTCGACGGAGGGGGCCGCCGTGCAGGGACGAGGAGTCAGACGGCGCTAGAGATGCGAGAGACGTGGCGGCGGACACGATGATGTCGGCGGACGCGGTGACGTTGGCGGCATCGCTGGCCGGGCCTTCTCTAGCGCGCACGAGCGAGCACCTCCGGAGGCCGGATATGCCGCCCACGGCGCCTCCCACCACCAGCGCGCTTCTCTCCGTCGCCGTGCACGCGGGCCCGCTCGGCACCGGACCTGCCACGCGCGGCCCTCCCGGCGCCAGATCCGCCGTCGTTGTCATCGAGCCGCCGCCACCACTCCTCCTCGTCGTCGATGAACTACCCCTTCTCGTCGCCGAGCCGCCGCTGCCACTCATCTTCCTCCTCGTCGTTGACGAGCCGCCGCCGCCGCCGCCGCCGCCGCTGCCGCTCATCTTCCTCGTCATCGGCGAGCCGCCGTCGCCGCTCCCGCTTCCTGCATCCTCCGCTCGGGCTGAGACGAGGCCGGCAATGGATGCCACCACCGCTGCATGCGCTCGGCAATGGAGGATGTGCGTGGAGAGAGAGGGAAACCGGCGTGGGTCCCCTGGATAGCTAGCCGGCTTGGCTGGCCAAGTTTGGCCAGTGAGGGAGGCAGTTTAGCTAGTCAAATGGCTTAGCCATTCAAATAGCTAGTCTGTTGGAGTACAATTTTTGTTCAAAATTACCAAATTTTAACTTGTAAAGTGAGATAGCAATGCTCTTGGAGATGCTCTTAGTGGAGGAAGGCCTCCTATGGATAAGAGGTATAGAGCTAAAGAATACTACAACTCTGGTACAAGCAGACAATGATAAGTTCGAAAGTAAGCTGTGGTACAAAAAGTTTTTGTTTTGGTAAGAACATATAACTTTAACAGCATATGGCATGAATATCTAATTCAAAACTTCTTTGACCTGCCAAGTTTCTCCTTTTGTGATCTTCAGATTATGTACAAATACAGCGAATTTTGACTGTTTGAGTCCTACAATAGCGTTAACAAGTTGTACTTAAGTTCAGCTTGTTTCACCATCTCCGGTTTGCGGTGCCTTTTTAAGCTTCATATGTTGCAGCTGCGATGTAGAATGTTTTCTCATATGTGCTACCATTAATTTTGACATTTTCCGCAGGCCCAATTTTGTTGCATTGCCTTCTTGACATTATTTCAGTTTTGTGCAATGGTACTTTTGCATTGATTTTGGTGCTACATTTCTACCCAATGTTGTTTTATGGTACTACCTATAAATGTGCCGTCAGCTGTAAGAAACTTCTCCACTAAGTAAAAGAAAAGACGCGAATATTAGGGAAGAACCTAATATAAAAAAAAATTAGAAGGGCTCAGCTGTAAAAAACTTCTCCACTAAGTAAAAGAAAAGACACGAATATTAGGGAAGAACCTAATATAAAACAAAATAGAAGGGGTAAGGCTTCGAACCCAGGTCGTCTAGCCTACCATCTTGTGGAGCTAGCCGGAAGACCCCTGGGTGTTTCGAGTAAAAGAAAAGAAAAAACTCACAACTGTTAATATACTCTCCTCTCTCTCTCTACTTTGTTCTTTTGAACTCCATAATTTAGAGAAATTCTATGCCGAAGTTTCTATCAGCAAGATTTATGTTTCCTTTGAACTATGTTCAATTTCCTTTATCACCATGCTCTTTGATATTTATGGTTGCTCTTCTGGGAGTGGGATTAAATTCATATGGAAATGGAACATTCATATTGTACCATATTGTTAGATTAATCCTACCAACTCCTGCGAGCTGGCCTCCCCCTATGTATGTATAAAAGGAGGACCAGTGTCTCTAAGAAGAAGGTTCTAAGTTACATTCAAGCCACATCCAAGGGTGAGTGCACCCCTTGGCGTTCAAAACATCTAAGAACACATTGTAAACTTCATCATTTAACATTTAATGAAAAACACAGGAGTAGAGCATGCTCTCAAGCGGCCTGAACCTATATATACATTTCAACATTCTCTCGCGTGACCCTAACACAAGCTTTGGGGATGGGGGGGGGGTGGGGGTTTGGGGGTGGGGTTATAGGTGGTGGTGGTGCTGTTAAAAATGTGAAATATGTCCGGCCAAGCAGCGCCGCAACCCCATCGCCTGTCTCATCTCGTTCTGTGACTTCCATCCAGACGCACGCACGCCCCATCCTCTCCTTGCTTGATCCGTGCACCTCAAGGAACAAGCGCTGCTGTTGCCCCACACGCTGGCCCCTCGGAGGACAGCAATTCCCATGATTACAATGGCATTAGCTCTGTTACAGCGAGCGCCTCCCCTGGTTGGAAGTGAGGGTTGTTTTGGCTTGTAACCATATCAAAAGTTTGGTAGTGCTGTATTGTTGCAACTCATTTAAATTGGCAAGGTTTGGTCTCGATTCAAATAGCTAGCAAGTACTATTTAGAACTACTTCCTCTGTTTTACAATATAAGTCATTCTAACATTTTCCACATTCTTAGTGATGTTAATGAATCTAAATTGATATATATGTCTAGATTCATTAACATCAATATGAATGTGGAAAATGCTAGAATGACTTACATTATGAAATGGAGGGAGTACCTAATAATTGGTAGGGCAAGAATCGGCCTTAATGGCTTAATCCAATCAGGCCATGAACCTCTCTTTTCTGAAAATGGCATGGCACTGTTTATTTGGCCTTCAATATGATCAGAGTTTATCACACGCACTGTTTCCGATTTGTTCCAGTGCTTGCACTTCAGCGGTGTTTGTCTCAGATTCTTTGTTTATGGGAAAGCAGAAAGATGGTGAACTTAGCTATCAATGCAAACGGAACACATATTAGAACATGATGAAGGGAATTGTGAAGCAGCGTCTCTCTCCAGCACGATACAAAACACCTGATCATGCTTTCCACGCAATGCAAAAACCAAAATTTCACTACTACAGATGTTGGCCCCCGTTTTATAACACCGGAAACCACATATATTGGTACACACATTCATAGCCAGTACAAAACAAATATCAAAATGAATTTAGTCAAAGAATTAGGACACGCCTAGGGATCGGGCGCTCGATCCGGAGGACAAAAAATCGGGCGCCCGTCCCAGCCATCCCATCCAGAGAGAACATCAGAGTCCTCACAGCTCTGAATTAGGACAACATGCACGCACGAAAATATTATTTGTAGTACTTGCATGCACAAAACAAATTACCTTTTCTCTCAAATTTTTTAAATGTGTCAAGTTTTTTAAACAAACTTTAAACTACATGTTCTCTCAAATTACTTATCCAATTCATGATCCAATTGCACCACTAAATTCATTGTAATTAAATCTTTAAAACAAGACTAAACATGGCTATAATCTGATGAAAAAAATGTTTAGCTTTATTAATGAATTGTTTTTAATGTTGCACCTATATCATTTAAATGTTTCATGTAGTATTCATATGATGTTTCACTTTTTAATTTGTAATAATTTGTAAATGTTGCACATGTTCTTCTAGGAATGTTTTAGCATGTACTTTATAATATTTTAATAATTATAACTCCACCAAGTAGATCGGAATCGTTTCACTAAGTAGATCGAAAATGTTTCAGTCTTGTAAAAAAAGCTGAAACCCAACCAAATCACCTCATAAAACATTTTACTATAACGTAGTGAAACAACAGTTTCCGAAAGAACCAGACGATGTTTCACCCTATATAAAAATAATGTTTCAGCAAATAGTGAATAGATGTTTCAATTATTAAAGACAGTGAAACGTGGTCAGATCGCTAGATGAAACAATTTGGTTCAATGTAATCCATTGCAACACTTAAACCCCGTGTACATCAACAAAACATTTTCAGCTTTTCAAACGATTGAAACATTTTCGATCTACTTAGTGAAATAGTTCTGATCTACTTGGTGGAACTGCGTGCAACATTTAAAAATAATTCAATAATAAGCTAAATATTTTTTTCATCGGATTATATCCATGTGTGGTCTTGTTTTAAAGATTTAATTGCAACGGATTTAATGGTGTAATCGGATCAGGGTTTGGATAAATAATTTAAGAGAAAAAATAGTTTAAAGTTCGCTTAGTAAGTTTGCATGACGTCATCATGATGCTAGGGGCAGAGGTTGCATGGCATAGGAGGCACCAGGGCTGCGGCGTGCAGCGTGATAGCAGTGCTGGGAGGGGAGCCCGATTTTTCTATGGCTGGATCGGACGCCCGGGCGCCATCATTTTCGAAAGAATTAGTACCTTTACAAGGATCAATATGGTCTTGTCCTACTCCCTTGTCCTCCTCCCTCCGTTTCAGGTTACAAGACGTATTGACTTTAGTCAAAGTTAAACTGTTTTAAGTTTGACTAAGTTTGTAGAAAAAGGTTGTAACATTTTCAACCCAATATAAATTTATTATGAAAATATATTCAATTATCGATTTGATGAAACTAAATTAGTATTATAAATATTACTATATTTGTCTATAAAATTAGTCAAACTTAAAACAGTTTAACTTAGACCAAAATCAAAACG